AAAGGTCGTAAATACAAAGGAAGCCGAAAATCCCGTATATTACATGCCACATCAAGCGGTTGTACGACAAGATCGACAAACAACAAAGTTAAGGGTTGTGTTTGACGCGTCTTCTAGCACCGCTGGGGAACTTTCTCTGAACGACGTCTTGTCCAGCGGAACAAACTTAAACCCTGACTTGATCGATGTACTGATCGCGTTTCGTACACACAACATCGCAGTAACAGCTGACATCGAGAAGGAATTTTTGCAAGTCACCTTGGCGGAGCAAGACAGAGACGCATTACGTTTCTTGTGGTATGACAGTACACCCAAACAAGGACATCAACTACCACAGGTAGTAACGTGGAGAATGACCAGAGTTCCCTTTGGAGCAACATCAAGTACGTTTCTCCTCGCGGCCACGCTGAGACACCATTTAAATCTAATGGAAGAAGAATTTCCTCAAACCACGAAGATTTTAAAGGACGACCTATATGTTGATGACTTGATAACGGGCGCGGAAAATTTGAAAGAAGCAGAAGTCCTCTGCAGAGAAGCAAGGGAAATAATGCAGAGGGCAGGAATGAAGCTTCGGAAGTGGAAGTCAAATAGTCCAATATTATTAGAGGAATTGACGAAAGAAAGTTCCGCCCAAGAGGAACTAATCGAACTGGTTGGTCCAACGAAAGTTTTAGGTGTCGGTTGGGAAACACGGACGGACATGATCAAAGTCGATCTCACTTCTCTCATCAACTTTCTGTGCTCAAGAGAGGACAGCAAACGCTTTGTGTTGCAAGCGTCATCTCGCATTTTCGATCCAATGGGACTACTGGCTCCTGCAATAATCGCAGTAAAAATTTTATTTCAGCAGCTATGGGAGCGAGGAGTTGATTGGGATGAGACATTACCTGCTGACCTTTACGAAGAGTGGGACGCATGGTGTAAAGACCTCACTGCACTAAAAAACATCGCGGTCCCAAGACTCATTGCTCTCGACTTCTCCAAGGACAAAACAGAAAAGGCGTTACATGTCTTCTGTGACGCAAGTACAAGAGCATATGGAGCTGTAGCATACCTGACATCGAAAGAACAAAATGGGAAGAGGGTGGCTCTAATAATGGCAAAATCGAGAGTGGCACCCCTCAAACGGTTGACCTTTCCGCGACTAGTGCTCATGGGGGCATTAATAGGCGCTCGACTAACGCAGTTCCTCACGAGCAAGTTGAAGCTAGAAGGACTTCCAGTATATCTGTGGACGGACTCTACGATTGTCCTGTATTGGATTCGTGGTTCAACAACCCGGTGGAAGCTATTCGTAGCAAATCGAGTCACGGAAATCCAAGCTCTGACGGAACCAAGGAACTGGAGGCATTGCCCTGGTACAGAAAATCCAGCAGACCTCCTAACACGGGGACTTATGTCAAAGTCTCTAGTACAGAGCAAGACATGGTGGAATGGACCAATCTGGTTGCATCGCTCCGAAACATCATGGCCGAGTCAAATTCAGGGCAAACCAGAAGGCAATGAATACCTCGCGGAAGAAAAGAAAGAGACTATTATACAACTCACAGTACCTCAAGATAATCAACTGGTGAGCTTGGAAGACTACAGTTCATTTATCAAGTTGATTCGGGTGACGGCGTGGATAAAACGGTTTATAAACAACGTAAAACAACAAGGCCAACGAAGTGGTCTCCTAACGAGCGAGGAAATTATAGAAGCTGAAAAATTCTGGATAAAAACAACACAGAATGACACCTTTTCAATGGAAATCAAACTCTTGCGGGACCAACGACAAGTTGAGAAGACTTCAAAAATCAAGATGCTTAACCCAAATATAGACTGTGATGGGATAGTAAGAGTTGGTGGCCGATTGCAATTTAGCGACAACGAAGAAGAAGTGAAACATCCAATTATTTTACCTGCAGACCACCGATTCACCTTCCTTCTCATCGCTGAAGAACATCGTTGACTACTGCACGCCGGAGTTGAAGACAGGTTGACGCAAATACGTGAAACCTATTGGGTTCTAAGGGGAAGGCAAGCCGTAAGAAAGGTCATACGTCGCTGTATAACTTGCCAAAGGCAAACTTGTGCACCAGCCTCCGAGCCTGTAGCTCCACTACCGGCTGACCGAGTATTAAGGTGCGAACCGTTTGAAAAAACAGGGGTGGATTTTGCTGGGCCGCTCATCTGTCGACGTGACTGCGGAAGCTACAAGGTTTACATCGTCCTGTTTACCTGTGCCGTGACACGTGCTGTGTACCTCGAACTGGTGAGCGACCTAACGACAACAGCCTTTTTATTGGCATTCACACGATTCGTGGCACGCAGAGGTATCCCAAAAACGATTTATTCCGACAATGCCTCAACGTTCAAAAGAGCAGCCAAAGACATCCAGAGATTGTTTGAATCGATAGAAGGGGAGGAAATGCAAACGTACTTTGCAAACCATAGAATTAAATGGAAAACGATCATAGCGAGAGCTGCCGGGTGGGGTGGGTTTGGGAGAGACTAGTGAGGTCAGTCAAGGTTTCGCTGCGTAAGGTTCTAGGCCGCAGTAGTCTGAATTTCGAAGAACTGACAACTGTCCTCACGGAGGTAGAAGCCGTAGTCAACTCCCGCCCGGTGACTTTCATTTCCACCGATGCAAAAGAACGAGAGGCTCTCACTCCAGCACACTTTCTGGTGGGACACAAATTGACCAGCCTTCCCCCCCATCAAATGCCAGAAGAAGATCAAGCAAGCCCCGAAAACTTGGCGCGAGGTTGGAAATATCGAAACACAGTTATGAATCAATTTTGGAGAAGATGGAGATCAGAATATTTGCTAGAACTGAGGTCAGCCCACATCGCTAAACAAAGCAATTCAAGATGTATACAAACCGGTGACCTGGTCCTTCTCAACGACAATAGACTACCGCGACACATGTGGAAACTCTGCAGGGTCAACGAGACATTCCCAGGAAGGGACGGCAAGGTGCGGTCTTGCAGAATAATTACACCCAGTGGTCGTGAACTTTGCCAGCCGATACAGTTATTATATCCCCTGGAACTGTAAGAATGAGCTTGTGCTCATTTTCGGGGGAGTTTGTTGTATAATTATTGCAAAAAGAAGAAGATGTAACGACAAAAATATAGACGACGACGACAAGAACGGAGGAATCGATGGTGACTCCGGCAGCAACTGAAACGAACATGTAAATATTGTACATAAACCCTTCCTTCTTAACGAACTCGCTACATTTAATCATCTTAACGAAGAAACGTAACACCCCCCCCCCCCCCCTGCTGTAACGCCCTCGGGCACTGCGGGGTAATCTCGGAATAAAGAATAAATAAAGAAGTGCCTTGACCAGCTAGACCAGGGGTGGCCAGACTGACCCGGCCTGAGAGCCGCAAACGAAACCACGAAACTTCCAAGAGCCGCGGGGGGGGGGGGGGGTGTAAGGGGAGGGGGGGGGCAAGCGGGTAAACTTGTTTCGAGCAAAAAATGAATATTGAAGTACTTTCAATGCATCCGAGTTAAAAGTACGTAAGGTAGCAGTAGCACGAAACAACCAAACTGCAACCTGTCTTTCGATTTAAAACGCGTTCCATTTCTCTTTTGGGGGAAGTGCTCGTGTGACCGGGAGGGGAGGGGGAGGAGGGGGGGAGGGGGGAGGGAGCGGCGAGCCGCACTTTAACACGCGAAGAGCCGCATGCGGCTCGCGAGCCTTAGCTCGGCCACCCCTGAGCTAGACTATCAGTTAGGTCTAATTCTAAAAGAAGCAAAGATTACCACTTTAATCAACCAAAGAATAAATATTACACTGTGCCCCAAATAGCGGCCAGGCTTTTTAAATCGACCGCAAACATCGCTTTCTTAACCTATCGCGTTCCGATTTTGTACAGCGTTGGCCACAGGTGGTGCATTGTTTCTATAAAATTCGCAAAGAGCGAGCTTACCGGAGGAAAAAGTAAAAGAAGAAAAAGTCTTAACTCCTATGGAAACGCAGCGAAGCCACCGGTCTTCAAAACACAGGGCGCCCTACGGTTTGAAGACCGGTGGCTTCGCTGCGTCTCCATAGGAGTTAAGACTTTTTCTTTTTTTACTTTTTTCCTCGGGTAAGCTCGCTCTTTGCGAATTCCATAGAAAAAATGCACCACCTGTGGCCAACGGTGTACAAAATCGCAACGCGATGGATTAAGAAAGCGATTTTCGCGGTCGATCTAAAAAGCCTGCCCGCTATTTGGGACACGAGGTATATATATAGTGACATATTAGTAGGCGACTACTACAAATTTCTCGACAAAATTTTACTTTACGAAAGCTTTAGAGTCTCAAAAAGTCGCGAGTGGCGTTGCTTTAGCTCTCGAAACGTTATAGTCCGGTAGCGAGTTGCGAAGATTGCATGCAAATGCGCTACTAAAACGAAAACGTTGCTCCGCTAAGGTAGATTTAGCGGAGGTCCTAGTGGAGTGCGGATAGCGTAGCGTAAATGGCAAAACGATCTACTGAAGCTCACTGTTACTATAGGGTGGCTACAGCCGAGCCGACGTATAAAAACGTCACGGAAAATTTGGCAAATGGACATAGAAACCCCAAACTAACAATGAAAGTGCACCGAGCAAGCCAGTTTTACCTCGTAAAACTTCAAGGTGTGTACTCCTGCAAAACGAAAATGAGAGTAAAAATCTTGCCAAGTCAACTTTGGGCGTATTTGCAGACGACCAAGTTAGCGACGCCATTAGCTTGTGGCGCCACCTTCCGACGTGGGCAGCGATCAGACGCATTCCCTTTTAGCCGATGACAGTATATTTCCCCCCCAGGGAGTAGGAGTGCCGTGCCGATGCACTTTTGTCGCTGCTTGATTCGCTACATCGGATCGCAGCGTCAACTGGGACACATTTCAGCTGAGTGAGCGAGGTCGGTTCACATATTTGGAGCTGCCACGAGTTTTACTCCCCGGCGAGTTATATTCTCGAGAGGATTAGAGACAGCAACAACAGTCAGAACGAAACGAAGGGGCGGCTCACTTGCTGTTGTCGCCCGCTGCGCCTTCAGCCTTCCCTGGCGGCGTGCCTTGCTTGTGCGGCCTGTGGCTGAACGCGCTGCCTACGCATAGGGGGCGGCCTGTGGACTTCTTCGCCGGGACCTGTGCGCCGCCCTTGATGGTCTTCCGGGGCTGGACAGGAGGATAGGCGGCAAAAATGAAGGCCAGTTGGCACACAAAAACACACCGAATTTTAATTAAAGGTTAACGGAGGGCCACTAATGCGATCTCCGCGCTATGCCACGAAGCCCAACGTAATAGGCTGTACATAATATTCCTGCAAGCTACCATCATCGTGCCATACGGAGTCGCCATATTGGAGGAATTCTGCCATCTGTGGACGCAGAAAATCTGCAATCAACTCTGTTTTCCCGATTTTAGGACAATGTATTTGTGCATTCAATGAATTTCTATTTAGCTTTGGTACAACGGAGAAAAGAAAGATGGTGACAAGATTGTGGAAAAGGAATTCCCAGCAACGATGTTGCCAAGACCCGTTCCTGAAGCAAACAAACGGGCTATCCAGGTAATCGCACGGCATTTATCGAAGACGCCTTGCGAAGGGCTCTTCCGGGGACCCCTAATATGGCGCAAACTCTATAATTAATCACACGCACGCTAGATGGCACCCCATTTTTCATATGGTGTATAAAAGGCTACGCGCAATGTCTTCTACGCTCCTCCCTGTCACCGTGGCATCGACCGCGTGATGGCTCGTTCACACTTGCGGATCCGCGGGCGAACCCACGGAGAATTAGACGCCGAGCGGCGAAATAGGCTCGCCGCTGATGGAATATTCGACGGCTCTATTGGTACGGGACCGATTTTTCCCGCGCGGAACTGGTTCCCGTGCCACTGCAGCCAATCGGAACGCGAGAAGAAAATTACGTTTACTGACGTCACATCCTAGCAGAATTGCCCTAGTTGTCCGGGTTGCCGCAAAAATTGTCGGAGTTCCCAAATCGTGCAAGTGGCGCCATCTCGTTTTAAGGTTGTGTCGGAAGAAATACTAAGCAGTATTACAGAATTATTCAACGCTCTTCGAGAGAACGCATCTGAAGAACGAAACCAGTGCCCACAAAGTGGATCTCTGGAGTAAAATTGGCGCTAGCGGTACGTACCCGCGCTATCTCCGGTTTGCGCAATATTTTATTATGGCATTCTCGTATCGCCGAGAGAATGTTGGGCACTTCCCTCTGGGCACTGTGGGTTGTTAGCTATATTATAACGCGCAGCGATGAAATGCTGGCTGCGAAAGCGGTTTTTCGCACGCCGCTCGAGGCTTCCTTCTCTGGTATCCACAAGACACCGGTTCCGCGGGAAAACGGCGGGCGGCAACAAGTGTAAAAGGCGGTCACTTTTTTCCTCGAACTACGTCGGTCGACCGCAAGAGAGCTTTCCGCAAGTGTGAGCGAGCCTTGACAGTGAAGTTTTCGAAAGAGGCAAAGTAGCGCTCTGGACATTCTCCGTCGTCTGCTACAACCGGTTCTGTCTGTACCACGGTGGTCTGTACACATAATTTCCGGCGTTTCTTTTTCAATTCTTTCAATATAGGCACGCACGCAAAGCGGGATCGTTCACAACAGAAGTTATAGTGAATCGTTTTCTGAAAGGACAGCCCTATGTGTCCCTGTTCTACGGGCATTTTTCAAGGCTTTATACCGAAGAATCTAATTCCCGTTCCCATCTCTTTCTAATCAAGAGTTTGTCATTTTTCCAGTAACGAGCACCGTCTGGGAAGTTGTCTGCGAACTAGAAATTAAGGGCAACCAAACATGCGTCCACCCGTCGGAACATTTGACATCGTGCAAATTTATCGTGTTCTTTTTTTTTCTTTTTACTTTTTGTACTCAATATTTTCGTTACTAAAACAAGTCGTTAAGACAAAATGCACGCAAAAATAGGTACCGACAATGTTCGTCCTGGGGGACGTTTTTTCTTTAGTGATAGAGTTGACACCAAAGAATCCTGCAATATGGCGCTTGTTTTGGGCAGAACGCATATCTGCATGGCTGCCTTTCTTTCGTGATTTTGGTAACTGCCTCCAATACCAAAGGCTATGCTGTGGATACCCCGAGGCGGCCATAGCGTTCACTCCTTACGAAGTTCTGGTGCTAGATCCTCAGCTTTACGCGGATGGCTGTCATTTACATTTATTGCTACCTCCCGAGGCTGGCAACCCGTCCGTCTCCAATTCCCGAAAAGTCCGACTCCGGAAATTATCTCTCGCTAAGCTGGAATCTCGTGCCGTTAGGCAAAGCATTGACTTTACGCAATGTTAAGACGAACAAGAAATTGGCAGCGATTAACATTTAAAGTCCTATACTCCATGGAATGCTGTTTCTAGGAGCGATTGTCTCATATGTTTGGAAAGTCGTTACGGTAGTAAAGAACTTACTTTCTAAAAGTTTGAGGAAACTGAATTAATGTGTCAGGTGAGCAGGGGTGGGGAAGAACGGCAAGTGGGGAGACAGGGGGGAGGAAGGGCACTATAGGGGGAAAAGGTATAGTGGAGGGGAGAGGGATGGATGGGAATGGGAGGCAGATGAAGAGGTGGAAAGGACACTCTAGAAGGGCGAGGAGATTTCGTAAAGGGGGAGGGTTAAGAAAAGAGAAAAAATGGGAGAGGGAATCGATGTTACAGGGAGTATAATTCGCCGCTCAATTTTGCGAGGAAACTGAATTGCTGTGTCACATGACCAAGGAGGAAGAGGGAGGGAGGACTCCGTAGAAGAATGGAAGGGGATGGGAAGAGGGAGAGAGGAAAATGTAAGGAGTTAGAGGTAGGTTGAGAGAGAGGGGAGATGGAGGGGGAGGACCAGCACCACCTCAAGTCAAGGCCGTAGAACTTGGTTTCGCGCAGGGACCGGGTCATGAAGCGTGTTGGAACCCGTTTGGTCTCTCCATTGAATTTCACGCGCACATCTTCCTCATTCGGGCTTTGCCTAGAGCAATCCAGCTTGCCCGTTTTGGAGTATGCAAGCACTGCACTAACATGCTCTTCACAAACCTTGCATCTACCACGCCTCGCCTCCTCCGTTCTCCGTATTTGTTCTTCTGTGGGGTGGGGCTGTTGCACCGCCGCGGGAGGAATGACTCTGGTGTTTGTTTACCAACGCCATACGCCCTGCCGGTGATGTTTACACCGCGAAGGGGACGCCGCCGGTGTCGCGCATCGCCGCCTCGAGTCAGTGAAATACGATCGCAGTTGCGCGCTGGGATATAACCTTCGGCCTCACTTGGGGTGAGGGGGGGGGGGGGGGGGCGCTACCACTTATGAATGCGAGCATTAACTGTCCCGCGGAGTGAGCCGACATCATCAGTTTCATGCGCGAAAACGGCTCCTATAGTCGGATGCAACCTGAGAACAATCTTTTAGCTCCACCCACAAGCGCATTGCGCCCATCTGAAGTGCCTCCGCCGTCGAGAAAGTAGTTCGCTAGCATCGTTGCTTTTTCTTCCTTCAGGAAACGTGTCTTAAACTACTACAATATTTATTTAATTCATTCAGGACATTTAAATAAGTTAGAACACGTTTTTGTCAACGAAATAGCTGTTTAGTAAAGAAAGAAAGTAATGTCCAATGTACCGTTTTCCCAATTCATTTTCTGTCCAAGATACTGTCTAACATACCGTCTACTCATCTCTCAGCAGCGCTAACCTCGCTCCCGCTTCGAAATTTTCGTTGGCGATAGCGTCGCTGGATTCTCACGTTGTCGCGAAAAAACTGCTGCAAACGCAAGCCGATACCATTAAGATTTCGTGGCGTAACCTCCGGCACGTAAAACACGGTGCAAAAAAGCAGAATAATTGTCACGAGAAACTAGCGTCGCGTTGCTAAGGCCAGCAGCCATGTTGAGCTTTTTTTTTTTTTTTTTCAAAAGGATCGCGATTGGTCCACGGAATCGTGACGTCATGAAAACGATTGGCTGGCGTTTCTCGGCGTAGGATTACATTTTCCTCTGAGAGGCATTTCCGGTTTTTTCTTAGCTTGCAACTGACTATAGTTTCAGCGATGCCAATAGGAGCAGAGTTAAGCTGATGGATTTCGCCTTCGGTTCCATTGGCTGGCGCGCGTCGACGGGGACTCCCATAGGCCGCTGCGCTCGACAGTTTCCACGACCGCTCACCTCATGGCGCTGCGTATCCATCAGCGCGCCGTTAACACGGAGCATCCAAGCTCAGCGTGCCCACGGGAGCACGCGCGCTGACCGGCGACGAAAAGACGCAGCAGGCGAAAAAGCGAGCGGATGAGCGGCTTGCATCCTTTCGCATTCACAACTCATAAGAAGTGCTTAGGTGTACCTCGAGCTTTTTTTGTCGGTAAGTCTGCATCAAGGAACACCCGTTTTCCTCCGCCGTCTTCAATTATGCTCCGGCTTGGAGTCCAGCTACGCAATGCGTTACAATGCAATATTATACCACCAGCTTAACCTTCCGTTCAAGCCGCGCCCTATATCAGTCGGACCAAAGACTTCCGTAACATCGCTCGGTACTAGCGGTTCATAGAACGACGGATCATATTTTGTCAGTCAAGTACTCACATTAAAGTACTAATCTGAAAAGGTAGCAAGATGAGTATCTAACCAGCCAAGTATAACACCCTAATAACTATCGGACGCGCCGTAAAGTTCAGTACTCATTGGCAGTATCAGCCACATTAGCGATGAAAACAAGCTCGTGTGTTATTTCTAGAGTGCTTCATGGCACCTGAGCATTAATATGACCAAGTACGGATACTGTCGTATGCGTCGTTCGTGTACCACTAGTCGTTAAGACAGAAACACCCCAGCGGTAACTGATGCGGCCACAACCTGGTTACACTTTTTTTTTTTTTTAACAAAATAATGCAATATGTTCTTGCAGATTTGTAATTACCTGCTGCATTAAGGGCCGATCGGGTGAAATTCAAAGAAAATCGAGAATGATTATATATATTTTTTTAATTGCGCCACAAAAATCGCAAAATATTTACTTTTTCGATTTCGACGAACATTCCGGGCGCAATGCAGAAAATACTATCAACAGTAAAACGTTACTGAATTTGCTAAACATTTATAAAGCCTTAAACACTGGACACAAAAAGTTTTGGCTTTTTGTGTCCAGTGTTTTTAAACTTGATAGACAAAATA